ATGAGTGGTAGGTCTCAAAGAGTGGTACTGTTAATTACAACTTTACATCAGAACTGAGGTATTTAGGTCTTAATGAGTGGTAAAGTAGTTTATAACATACTCCACCAGAACAAAAGCGTGTAGGTCTCAATGAGTGTAATTGTAATTCACGACAAAGTACATCAGAACTATAGTGTGTAGATCTTAATGTGTGGTACTGTAATTTACACACATATTCAATTAGAACTATAGTGTGTACGTCTCAATGAGTGCTACTGTAATTTACATATAGTCCATCAGAACTATAGTGTGTAAGTCTCAATGAGTGGTATTGTAATTTACAGCATAGTCAATCAAAACTATATTGTATGTAGGTCTTAATGATTGGTACTGTAAATTACAATATTGTCCATCAGAACTAAAGTGTGTGGGTCTAAAGGAGTGTTACTGTAATTTTATACATAGTACATCAAAACTTTATTGTGTAGGTTTCAATGAGTAGTATTGTAAATTACAACATAATTCATCAGAACTATAGTATGTACGTCTCAATGTGTGCTACTGTAATTTACAACACTGTGCATCAGATCTAAACATTGTGGAGGTTCGAAAGAATTGTATTGTAATTTACAAAATAACTCATCAGAAATATAGTTTGTACATTTCAATGAGTGTTACTGAAATTTACAACATAGTCCATTAGAACTATATAGTGTGTAGCTCTCAATGAGTGTTACTGTAATTTACAACATTGTGCCTCAAAACTATAGTGTAGGGTTCAATGAGTGGTACTACAACACTGTGCATCATACCTATAGTATGTAAGTTTCAATGAATGGTACTGTAATTTACAACATAGTCCATCAGAACTACTGTGTGTAGATCTCAATGAGTGGTACTTTAATTTAAAACATAGTACATCAGAACTATATTGCTTGTAGATCTAAATGAGTGTTACTGTAATTTACAAAATTGTGCCTCAAAACTATATTGTAGATTTCAATGAATGGTACTGTAATTTACAACATCGTCAATCAGAACTATAGTGTGTAGATCTCAAGGAGTGGTACTGTAATTTACAACATAGTCCATCAGAACTACAGTGTGTAGATCTCATGGAGTAGTACTGTAATTTAAAACATAGTACATCAGAACTATAGTGTATAGATCTCAAAGTGTGGTACTGTATTTTACATTATAGTCCATCAGAACTATAGTGTGTGGATCTCAATGAGAGGTACGGTAATTTAAAACTGTAGAACGTAGAACATGTCTGGAAGGGTTTTCCACGGTCGAACAAATGCCCTATTTGTCGTAGATTGACCTTGGGCTTATTTTATACGTAAAAAAACAATCCCCGCTCAATATTCTACTGAGGCCACTTTTCGTCTTTACAAGGCAGTACATGTAACAGTAAGTTTTCTTATTTGTGCCAATGCCTATTCCACCCTTAACAGAAGTATATATATACAATTATATACACTTTTGGTTTTGAATATTTATATAATAGTGTTGTGTTTTGCGTGCACTACACTTAAAAAGTGTGTCAGGGTTTGACACATGGTGCACGAGCCGGAGCTTTCCAAAGTTTCATCTCATCTCATAATTATGTATGTACAGCTCTATTATGACGCTTTGTTGTGCTACATACAGTATACGTCATTATCTGATCTCTTTAATTTTGAATATAAAAAGGTTAGGGTTAGGGTAAGGGTAAGGTGCAATCGTCTGTCAAAATCAGCTTTTGGATCAATCGCCAGTCTTATCAGCTTTGGGCTTCGTGGATTTAATTTAAAAAACCCAGCACGGTGACACTGAACTCAAGTTGTTGAATGCATCTATAGGCAATAAAAACAAACATTTGTCATTAAGTTGATGAAAGAATCGACTTGATAACGATCTCAACATGCAACAAGAGGTCCATGGGTCACATCGTTCATCTGAGTAACTTGGGTGATGCAGATCTTCACCAGATCCCCTCTCTTACTATACCTATCATTCCCAACAACCCCTTCCCTTTTTTATTTTAATACTTGAAAATTTACACTACGCAAGGATGCTTCCACATAAGTTTTAGCTTTCCTGGGCCAGTGGTTCTTGAGAAGAAGATTTTTAAAGATTCGTTCTATGTTTTCTATATTTATGTAAGACTTGGATTCCCTTTTGTGGCCCCACCCTATCCCCGGGAGTCACTTTTTTTTACAATTATATATATATATATACACTACACAAGGATGCTTCCACATAAGTTTCAGCTTTCCTGCAACAGTTGTTCGTGAGAAGATCTTTAAAGATTTGTTCTATATATTTCTATGTAAAACTTGGATTCCCTATTGTTGCCCCGCCCTTTCCCTGGGGGGGGGGGGGGGGGGGGGGATTTTAACAATGTAATATCTACACCACCCAAGGATGCTTCCAAGCAAGTTTCAAGTTTTCTGGCCCAGTGGTTCTTGAGTAGAAGATTTTTTAGTGATCCCACCTATTTTGGTCTTTTCTTGATTATCTCCGATTGAAAGGGGACTTGGCCATTCATTTTAACAATTTTCACTCCCCGCCGCCCATGGATGCTTTGTACCAAATTTGGTTAAAATTGGCTCATTGGTTCTTGAGAAGTCGAAAATGTGAAAAATCTACAGACGGACAGTCGGACGAACGACGGACAAAATGTAATCAGAAAAGTTCACTTGCGCCTTCGGCTCAGGTGAGCTAAAAACGCCAAACTGCTATACAGGCTTTCTACTTTCATTTTCAAATTGGTACGTAAAAAAGTCAAAACAAAAAGAAAACACAAAAATGCCTTTAGACTAATATGTAAATTGTAATGTTTGCATCTATTCTGAGACAAATTTATCCAAACTCACTTACAGATCAATAGCTTTATTAAGGTTTACGAAATGCATTAAATTAACAATTACAAGTGTTGAGAATATTGTAGAAATAAGTTCATACGAACCGTAATTAAAGGATATTAAAACAAAATAAATTAGGCCTCAAGGTCTATGTGATTTGTCATTATTTGGAGTTTACTTCCTTTTTCAAACACCAAGCACTTCTGCTGCAGCCGTGACGTCAAACATGATGTAAACTTTCTTCCGATAGAAGTCAAAACCGGTCCTGGAAAAAATACGGATTTATTTTTATTTCACACAAGTAATACACCAGACACAAAAGATTTGAAATAAAAAGCAAATAATTTTTTTCTTTATCAATTTGGCCGGGACATGCATTATTAAAGAAAAATAAAATTGTGAAAGTTTGTTTTTTAAAAAGGGAAGGGGGTGGGCTGTTAAACAGAGTAGAACTTCACATAAGTAATTAATGCTAACAAATTCTTTAGAGGTGATGTACATTTAAATTACTATTGAGATACATTATTGAAATTGCAATTTTACTTGAGTATACCAACCCAGATAGCAAGACATAGTTGGGCCAACGTTGGCCCAATTTTTTTTCCAACGTTGGCCCACTGTTGGTAACCTTACGTTGGCCCACGTAATTTTGCTCATCGGCCCAACGTCGGTCCAACATGTTGGCATATTGTTGGGCCAACGTAGGTATAATTGTATGCCAACTAACAGCCAACCTTAACAACTGTTTGGTTAGGTTGGCCCAACGTTGGCCCTATGTTGAAATGTCAGATGGCATATTGTTGGGCCAACGTAGTTATAAGTGTATGCCAACTAAAAGCAAACCTTAACAATTGTTTGGTTAGGTTGGCCCAACGTTGGCCCTATGTTGAAATGTGAGATGGCATATTATTGGCCCAATGTAGGTTTTAGTGTATGCCAACTAACAGCCAACCTTAACAACTGGTTGGTTAGGTTGGCTCAATGTTGACCTTTTTTTTACAATGTCAGATGGTAAATTGTTGGGCCAACATAGTTATTACATAGAATCATTTGCAATTGTTTAAGTGATTCTTTTACATAATCCTATTTTATGACTGTTTAAAATAATTAATACAAATTCAATCTGCATTCATAATGCATACATGGACATGTTCAATGAAAACATTACTAATGATTCACTCTGATAATATTTTATATATATCAATTCAATCATAATTTACAAAACAAATTTTAAAAAAGACAAAAGAGGTAAGTTATGAAAAATGTTCAATTAAAAGTTCTTAATCAGGGCTCACTTCCTTTATTATAGTCCTTTTGTTGTATTCCCGCTCTTTTTCCGTCCCTTCGTCCCCTCCCGTTTTCTTTATCTTGATCTTTGTCACACGGACTCATACTTTATACACTTCTTATGCATGGTCTTCCATTTCATTGTTATTTACATGTACTGCCACAACATTTGTTTTCCGTGCAGTCTCTGACTGAATTTCTTTGTTACAATCGTGTCTGTAATAGACAGTTAAGAATTAGATAGATAGGAACAACTTAAACGATGTTTTTTAACCTTAACTTACACTGCTTGTTTGCAAAAACATGACAAGAATGAACTCCGAGTCAATTTTACCGAATAAATAAGAATAAATATACTTACATCGCTTCTAAATGCAGCTGTATAGCAAGTGTATAATCCACAAATTTAAATTTCACCTCTTTTTGCTTGCCCTGCATTATCGCCACCTGTGAACAATTGAATCTGACAGCTCACTCCACAGTGTGGTCACGTGATAGCGAATGCCTAACTTTTGTTTCAGTTTAACTATAGGAAAAACCCCTACATAAACAAATACATGGGCGCAGACATTTTGGACACCCAAGATTGTGCAAAGGAGAAAATGCTAGCTGGCGCGTGATTGGTCAATAAGAGAAAAGACTTGTTATGTATTTGACAAGTGAAATAAAGTTGATAAAAATCTGATATCAAGAATTGGGTTTCTTTGAGGTATATATGAGTTACAGGTAAAAAATTAAAGGGAGGGATGTACTTTGGCTAGAGATTTTCATTTGGTGTCAAACGCACCTAGTTGTAAACAAATGGAAATTGAAAGTAAAAGTGCAACGGCACGGTATATTTTTTCTGGCATTTTTTGTTTTCCAATATCTCGAACTTTCACGAAAAAAAGGTCATTTGCCCGAAATTCAATGTATGTATCAGTGAGAGGGGCTAAAGTTTGTATGGAAGTCTATGGGAAAACATTTGGTGGTGTTTGTCCTATAGAAAAGGTATGATTTCAGGGATAAAAATTGATTACAGCCTAAAAGTCAATCGGTTCCTATTTTTTTGGCATTGAGAATATATTTTAGTTAGTTTTGACTATTTGTTTAAAAATTAGAGGGTTTGGGTAAATTGGGGCTCACAATGGGGACTGCACATAGTGCAAAATCGCCAAAATTTGTGCACTAGCTCTCATATTTTCAATAAATGTACATGTAAATAATTTCAAATAAATATTTATATCGAAATTAACTGTGAATATTGTAAATAATGCAATATCAATATTTATGGGCATCATCAATACACAAAACATATGAATATCCCCCTCGCAGTTTGAGAAATTTATTTAAATTCATGTATTTTATGAGTGTAGACATTGGAACAGATTGACTAATCCTCTTTCAAATTTGTGTTAATCAGAGTTGATTGAATGATTTATAACAAAATTTGACTGCTATTTACTAATTAGATTACTTTGTTTTTACATAAGGGGCATAATCCAGCAGCAAAGCCAGTTTCAGTTATGTAATCAGTGCTGGCTTGAAATAAAAGTTATACTTTTGGTGAAACTTACAGATTACTAGTTGGAAATTTAATCTAAATTACAGTTCAATATATTTTTGCAGAAAATACATTGAATATGCAATAAATATGAAAAAAATTATAACTGGAAAAATTATGAAAAAGGTATCTCAATATCCCTCCACCTTGCCATATCCAATCTTGATATTCTGCTGAAAGGGGGGGGGGGTAATTTTGTGCTCTTATCATGCTGTAAAATGAGGGAAATTTGTTAAAATATAGTTTATTTGAATAACAAGAGTCATGCTTATCTGCAGTTATTTTTTTTTCAATTTCTTTTTTATTCTTTAAAATAATTATATAAGAAAATTCTATTTTAACATGATTATTTTAAAGGTATTACATCACAAATGCTTAAAAAATCAAAAGAAGGTGTTAAGAATAAAAAAATATGATATAAGCTACTAGATGCATTTATCAGTATGTTTTAATACAATAAAATGTATTTCAGCGATGCATTCTCAAGAAGGAAGAGATTAATGAACCCTACCCTCTTACAATGAACAACACATGGATACTCTCGGGATGATCCCTTTGCTTTCATTAAGAGTTCCAAGGTATTGTTTTCTTAGAAAATCTAGTTAATCTCTTAATATTTAAGTTATTTAGAGCTTTTTATAGATTATTAGAAAATAATTTCCTCAGAACTGCAGTTATTTAAGCACTTTGCTTACAATTGAGCACTTTATTCAGTCAGACAATATGATTTATCTGCCCTTGGCATTGAATCAATTTATTAATTAGGTCAATAATGAGAAATGATATGCAAATAAATATATTTGCCTTTTATGAGAATGTACACATTTAACATCAAATACATGAAATGTTCATGAAAATTGGCTAAAATGTAGGTCACCCCCTTCAAAATTACAAAATTTTCAGTGGGGATGTATTTGATTCTCTGATGCCAGCAACCCACTGCTGATAGATTTTTTTTCAATCTTATGTACATTTGAACTACATATAATTCTCTATTCTTTCCATTGATTATTTTATTTATATTAGTTTTCACTCTTTCCATAACCCAGCTTTTCTTACAAAAACCTGCTGATTTTCTTCATTTTTCATTGATAACGGGTACCTGATACCCTGAATGATTAACATGATCTTCCTTGAGAAATTATTAGAGATAATAAGAAAGACAAGCAAAACATATGCTAGATTAATCATTTTATTTCAAAAGTTTGAAAGAAAAATAGAAAAATGCTTCAATTTATAGACATCTTTTCTGTTTCACAGATGTGGGTCTGATTGACTGGGGTGTGAAATGTAACAGCCAATGGTGTACTTAAGGTAAGACTGTCAGTCCCAATATTCAAGAGGTCAGATGAGCAATGGATATGTGTTCTAAATTTACTAAATTGACCACTTTTTACAAATGTTTCTTTTACTCTATACATAAACAAATACATGGGCGCAGACATTTTGGACACCCAAGATTGTGCGGAGGAGATAATGCTAGCTGGCACGTGATTGGTCAATAAGAGAAAAGACTTGTTATGTATTTGACAAGTGAAATAAAGTTGATAAAAATCTGATATCAAGACTTGGGTTTCTTTGAGGTATATAGGAGTTACAGGTAAAAAATTGAAGGGAGGGATGTACTTTGGCTAGAGATTTTCATTTGGTGTCAAACGCACCTAGTTGTAAACAAATGGAAATTGAAAGTAAAAGTGCAACGGCACGGTATATTTTTTCTGGCATTTTTTGTTTTCCAATATCTCGAACTTTCACGAAAAAAAGGTCATTTGCCCGAAATTCAATGTATGTATCAGTGAGAGGGGCTAAAGTTTGTATGGAAGTCTATGGGAAAACATTTGGTGGTGTTTGTCCTATAGAAAAGGTATGATTTCAGGGATAAAAATTGATTACAGCCTAAAAGTCAATCGGTTCCTATTTTTTTGGCATTGAGAATATATTTTAGTTAGTTTTGACTATTTGTTTAAAAATTAGAGGGTTTGGGTAAATTGGGGCTCACAATGGGGACTGCACATAGTGCAAAATCGCCAAAATTTGTGCACTAGCTCTCATATTTTCAATAAATGTACATGTAAATAATTTCAAATAAATATTTATATCGAAATTAACTGTGAATATTGTAAATAATGCAATATCAATATTTATGGGCATCATCAATACACAAAACATATGAATATCCCCCTCGCAGTTTGAGAAATTTATTTAAATTCATGTATTTTATGAGTGTAGACATTGGAACAGATTGACTAATCCTCTTTCAAATTTGTGTTAATCAGAGTTGATTGAATGATTTATAACAAAATTTGACTGCTATTTACTAATTAGATTACTTTGTTTTTACATAAGGGGCATAATCCAGCAGCAAAGCCAGTTTCAGTTATGTAATCAGTGCTGGCTTGAAATAAAAGTTATACTTTTGGTGAAACTTACAGATTACTAGTTGGAAATTTAATCTAAATTACAGTTCAATATATTTTTGCAGAAAATACATTGAATATGCAATAAATATGAAAAAAATTATAACTGGAAAAATTATGAAAAAGGTATCTCAATATCCCTCCACCTTGCCATATCCAATCTTGATATTCTGCTGAAAGGGGGGGGGGGGTAATTTTGTGCTCTTATCATGCTGTAAAATGAGGGAAATTTGTTAAAATCTAGTTTATTTGAATAACAAGAGTCATGCTTATCTGCAGTTATTTTTTTTTCAATTTCTTTTTTATTCTTTAAAATAATTATATAAGAAAATTCTATTTTAACATGATTATTTTAAAGGTATTACATCACAAATGCTTAAAAAATCAAAAGAAGGTGTTAAGAATAAAAAAATATGATATAAGCTACTAGATGCATTTATCAGTATGTTTTAATACAATAAAATGTATTTCAGCGATGCATTCTCAAGAAGGAAGAGATTAATGAACCCTACCCTCTTACAATGAACAACACATGGATACTCTCGGGATGATCCCTTTGCTTTCATTAAGAGTTCCAAGGTATTGTTTTCTTAGAAAATCTAGTTAATCTCTTAATATTTAAGTTATTTAGAGCTTTTTATAGATTATTAGAAAATAATTTCCTCAGAACTGCAGTTGTTTAAGCACTTTGCTTACAATTGAGCACTTTATTCAGTCAGACAATATGATTTATCTGCCCTTGGCATTGAATCAATTTATTAATTAGGTCAATAATGAGAAATGATATGCAAATAAATATATTTGCCTTTTATGAGAATGTACACATTTAACATCAAATACATGAAATGTTCATGAAAATTGGCTAAAATGTAGGTCACCCCCTTCAAAATTACAAAATTTTCAGTGGGGATGTATTTGATTCTCTGATGCCAGCAACCCACTGCTGATAGATTTTTTTTCAATCTTATGTACATTTGAACTACATATAATTCTCTATTCTTTCCATTGATTATTTTATTTATATTAGTTTTCACTCTTTCCATAACCCAGCTTTTCTTACAAAAACCTGCTGATTTTCTTCATTTTTCATTGATAACGGGTACCTGATACCCTGAATGATTAACATGATCTTCCTTGAGAAATTATTAGAGATAATAAGAAAGACAAGCAAAACATATGCTAGATTAATCATTTTATTTCAAAAGTTTGAAGGAAAAATAGAAAAATGCTTCAATTTATAGACATCTTTTCTGTTTCACAGATGTGGGTCTGATTGACTGGGGTGTGAAATGTAACAGCCAATGGTGTACTTAAGGTAAGACTGTCAGTCCCAATATTCAAGAGGTCAGATAAGCAATGGATATGTGTTCTAAATTTACTAAATTGACCACTTTTTACAAATGTTTCTTTTACTCTATACATAAACAAATACATGGGCGCAGACATTTTGGACACCCAAGATTGTGCGGAGGAGATAATGCTAGCTGGCACGTGATTGGTCAATAAGAGAAAAGACTTGTTATGTATTTGACAAGTGAAATAAAGTTGATAAAAATCTGATATCAAGACTTGGGTTTCTTTGAGGTATATAGGAGTTACAGGTAAAAAATTGAAGGGAGGGATGTACTTTGGCTAGAGATTTTCATTTGGTGTCAAACGCACCTAGTTGTAAACAAATGGAAATTGAAAGTAAAAGTGCAACGGCACGGTATATTTTTTCTGGCATTTTTTGTTTTCCAATATCTCGAACTTTCACGAAAAAAAGGTCATTTGCCCGAAATTCAATGTATGTATCAGTGAGAGGGGCTAAAGTTTGTATGGAAGTCTATGGGAAAACATTTGGTGGTGTTTGTCCTCTAAAGCTGTGTCATTTTGATTTTTGTATATGTAGGCTTCATTCACATCCTGTTCCTGAGAACGTATCTAATCTTCTCTAAATTGCATGAATACAACGCTCATGAAAAAAAAAATCATGGGGTTTAATTTCAAATATATAATCATGCATGTGCACAATTCAAAAAATATAATAAAACACTCTTTGGTGCTTTGATCACTTAAGTTAAAATTTAAAATGTTGAATATATCAGATCTAAACAAATACAGTCATCCAACAAACATCGGGCCAACATTGGGCCAACATACTACTACCAACTTTAAAAGACACTTTCTTTAAGGGTGTATTACAAACATCGGGCCAACGTTGGGCCAACATGCAACTACCAACTTTAAAAGACACTTTCTTAAATGATGTATTACAAACTCCGGGCCAACTTTGGGCCAAAATACTACTACCAACTTTAAAAGACACTTTCTTTGAGGATGTATTACAAACATCGGGCCTACGTTGGACCAACATACTACTACCAACTTTAAAAGACACATTCTTTGAGGGTGTATTACAAACATCGGGCCAACGTTGGGCCAACATACTACTACTAACTTTAAAAGACACTTTTTTTAAGGGTGTATTACAAACATCGGGCCAACGTTGTGCCGACATTTTACTACCAACTTTAAAAGACACTCTCTTTAATAGTGTATTACAAACAATGGACCAACGTTGGACCAACATCCCTCCTTCCTTGGGAAGTAAAGTGTATGGAAGTTGCTAACGTTGGACCAACGTTGGGCCAACAAAGGAATTCTGTCATGGTCGAGAAGGTTGGCATGATGACATTGGTCCAACGTTGGCCCAACGTTGTTTCCCCAACGCCAACCATACAACCTTTTGCCAATGTTGGCCCAACATAGTCTTGCGATCTGGGAAGGACAAATAGTGAACACTGTTTCATGATTTTCATATGAATACTGTTTAATATGATTCTCATGTGATCACTGTGAAAATAATCAAATGATTTTAACCAGGTATAAGGAGTGGAAATTAGTGAATATGGTTTCATATGATTCTCATATGATCAGTTTCATATGATTCTCATATGACATTGCCAAAATAAACATATGATTCTCATATGTATGACCATTCATATGAGAATCATATGTAAATTACTTCATGTGATTAACATATGTCTGATCACATGATTCTCATATGATTAACCACATATGATTCTCATATGACTGTATTTACATACGATTCAATAATGATCCACATATGATCCTAATATGAAAGGCAATTCATATGTGGATCATATGTGGCTAAATTGTCTATGTAAAAAACTTTGTTAAATAACTTATCTGATAGATAACTTCAAAAAAGCCCCCCCCCCCTCCCCAAAAAAGCACTTCTCAACGGTGATTCAATTATCAAAAAATGCAGGAAAACCAAATTAACGAGATGGTATTATAACAGTTATTAACACTGTTAACACAATTACCTCACGATCTCTATCCGGAAATGTATAATTTCATCCATTTCAGCTAGGATATGAAAAATACCGAATTATAGACGTTTTGCAAACATTTTTTTTTTTCAAAAACGATAGAAGAAGGTATGGTTTCCATACAATTTTTTCCCTGTGATTTAAAAAAAAATGAAACTGGTGTAAAAGTTGAAAACTGAAATAATTGAAATTCAATGCAGAAAAATCACTCAAGTTATTTTTCTCACATGTGTTTTTAAATGCTGATTATGACGTCATAAACATGTGCCTTTTCCCGTATTTTCTTAGAAAATTGCAGTTGCAATGAAATTTTCTTTCAGATAACATTGTCCACAGGCATCACCAACAAAGATCTTGAGATATGTGATTTGTTATTGAATTTTGCACAAAATATAAAGAAATTAACGTGGGCGATGACTGTTGACACTGTTTTATAAAGGAGAATCACCCTTGAAATGTGCCAATTTGAGACTTTTTTCTGTTGGAAATAGAGAAATGCTTCACATTAATGACGTCATATTTGCAGAATGGTAAACCTTCATGTTATATTCTTTCCTGATTTATCAGAGTCATTTATTAACTAATATTTATGCCAGTTTCAAAACTATTTTGATGTTATTACATTTTAGGGCGCAATAAACCTAAAGCCATACCTTCTTCTATAACTAAATTATCTTCAAAGAATGAATCGTTTAAACGTCTTTGTTTGACATCCCCCCCTCCCCCCAAATATTTACAAAAAAATTAACTTTCAGATTTTCTACATAATTTTGCTCCAATCTTTCCATTAAACATTGTAGTTTATTAATTTCAATTTAAAAACTTCCTTTCATAAACTGTAATTAGGTATTTTTCTGAATAATATAGCAGGGGTACTTTGTTTACATCAATTTCTCATAGACTTTAGCCCACACCCCCGATTTGTAAGCCCATTTTTATATGAGCGCATTGATGTTTCAATTTGCTGTTTTTATGGTTAACGTAAAAAGTAATACTTATCATTTACATCCATTAAAGAAATTGAAACAATCGTGCGCTCATTGTTTATTTTCCCAAAATCTCAAAATCACGGGTACTTGTCTCTATAGTAAAGCTACCTTGTTTAGAAATTTCAACCCGTATCTGACCACATGAATAACAAAGCATTGAACACGTGATTTAAATCTATTCACTTTCATGCTTTGAGCTATCCATTGTTAAATCTTATTCCATCGGCTAAAAACACTTGGACATTTCAAAATATTATGGAAAAGTGCATACTTGATATATTTATATGCTAGGTTGAATTGTTTTATTTACCTGTTTTTGAATGTAATTTTTACCAATTTTTAGGTCACCTGAGTAAACTCAGGTGACCTATTGCCATCTGTTTTCGTCCGTCGTCGTGCGTCGTGCGTCGTGCGTTGTGCGTTGTGCGTTAACATTTGAACATTTTCTTCTTCTTCTCTGCAACCACTGAACCAATTTCAACCAAATATGGCACAAAGCATCTATGGGTGAAGGGGAACAAAAATTGTGAATTTCATGATCCCTGCCCCCCTGGGGCCTGAGGGGTGGGGCCAAAACCACTAAAATTAGTGCAATCTTTGAAAATCTTCTTCTTTACTCCTGGACATCAAGCAGTCAAACTGTTTGCATGATTGTAATCAGCATTGAGTCCTTTACCAAAATTGTGAAATTCATGGCCCTGGGGTCAAGGGTTCTAGTGCTAGGGCGGGGCTAAATAAGTATATAGTTAAAATGCATTATTTCATTGAAAATCTTCTTCTGTGATCCTGGGTATTAAATAAACCAACTAAGTGCATAGTTATAATGAGCAAGAGTGTTACTACCAAAATTGTGAATTTTATGGCCCCAGGGTCAGGGATTCTGGTGTTAGGGTGGGGCTCTATAGATTATATAGTGAAAATACATGCATTCTTTGAAAATCTTCTTCCCTGCTCCTAGGTATTAAATAAACTAACTAAGTGCAAAGTTATGATGAGCAAGAGTGTCTCTACCAAAATTGTGAATTTTATGGCCCCAGGGTCAGGGGTTCTGGTGTTAGGACGGGGCTCTATTGGTTATATAGTGAAAATACATAAATACTTTAAAAATCTTCTTCTGTGCTCCTAGGTATTAAATGAATAAACTAAGTGCATAGTTATGATGAGAAAGAGTGCCTCTATCAAAATTGTGAATTTTATGGCCCCAGGGTCAGGGGTTCTGGTGTAAGGGTGGGGCTCTATAGATTATATAGTGAAAATACATAAATTCTTTGAAAATCTTCTTCTCTGCTCCTGGGTATTATATAAACTAAAGTAGTGCATAGTTATGATGAGCAAGAGTGCTTCTACCAAAATTGTGAATTTTATGGCCCCAGGGTCAGGGGTTCTGTTGTTGGGGGGGGGGGGGGCACTATAGATTATATAGTGAAAATACATGAATTCTTTGAAAATCTTCTTCTCTGCTCCTGGGTTTTAAATAAACTAAATAAGTGCATAGTTATGATGAGAAAGAGTGCCTCTATCAAAATTGTGAATTTAATGGCCCCAAGGTCAGGGGTTCTGGTGTAAAGGGGGGGGGGCTCTATAGATTATATAATGAAAATACATGAATTCTTTGAAAATCTTCTTCTCTGCTCCTGGGTAATAAATAAACTAAATAAGTGCATAGTTATGATGAGCAACAGTGCCTCTACCAAAATTGTGAATTTTATGGCCCCAGGGTCAGGGGTTCAGGTGTAAGGGGGGGGGGGCTCTATAGATTATATAGTGAAAATACATGAATTCTTTGAAAATCTTCTTCTCTGCTCCTGGGTATTAAATAAACTAACTAAGTGCATAGTTATGATGAGCAACAGTGCCTCTACCAAAATTGTGAATTTTATGGCCCCAGGGTCAGGGGTTCAGGTGTAAGGGGGGGGGGCTCTATAGATTATATAGTGAAAATACATGAATTCTTTGAAAATCTTCTTCTCTGCTCCTGGGTATTAAATAAACTAACTAAGTGCATAGTTATGATGAGCAACAGTGCCTCTACCAAAATTGTGAATTTTATGGCCCCAGGATCATGGGTTCTGGTGTAAGGGGGGGACTCTATAGATTATATAG